TTTCCTACTGAGTAGCCAGTTCTCTTATCAAGTAAACTCTTTTATCATTGGAAACCCATTTTTATCACCCAGAAGTGTGGGAAGTGTTTCTAGACTTACGTTCCACTGATCTACTTACACTTGGGGCCATGGGACTCTAGTAACTCTAACTCTGGAAAAATGTTCCTACCTGTTGAGACTGGTTCCAGATAATTTTCATTTCTGATTTTTTCTATTTGTCTTTTTCCCCTAAAAACTTTTAAAGACATTTTGTGGAGTTTCTAAAAATTCCTAATAAGATTTTGTTTCATATGATTTTGAATTTGAGAGCATGAAGGGAGAATGTTTACATAAATTTGATGAAGATTTTTACTGTTATTGTTATTGTTTTGGTCATACTGTGGATTAAACCCAGAGGTACTTTTACTGCTGAACTACATCCTCAGTCCAGTCCATTTTTTTATTTTTTATTTTTACACAGAGTCAGCCTAAGTTGCTGAGGTTGGCCTCAGACTTGCATCCTCCTGCCTTGGCCTCTCCAGGAAAGAATCATTTTAGAATTCCTTTATATCCCTGAGGAGAATGTTATGGTTTTCGTTCTAAAGGTCCTGTATGATTTTTTTTTTTTTTTGTAAATCTGGTCACTTACATTTCATTGCTTTTTAAATTACTAATTGCAATATTGCAGCTATGAATAAGACCTTTTCCCATTATATTTTCTAATTGTATATTAATTTTTATACATTTATTTCACAGTCATCTCTCTGAACTCCTTAATAGTTTTTGTTGTCCTTTTGCATTTTTCCAGGTTTTGAATGACATAACAGTAAGTAATAATTCTTCTGTGTGTTATTTTCCAAATCTAATTGTGCAAAATTTAAAAGACTTAAAGGATATATCTTATTAATTGTACTCTTTTGCATAGAAATAATTAGTATCAGTGATCAAAAGTTCTTTTGTTCAGGAAAGTTTTCTTGAATTAGTATTTTTCACCCGGTTTTTGTTTATTCTATGGTATACTTTTCTCATCTCTTGTTCTTCTACACTTTGGGAACAAGTTTATCCATATGACCAAGAAAGATTTATGTAATTATGTTCATTTGTACCTCTTTTGGGAACTTGTATTTGGAGTTCCTTTTTAAAATTTTTTGCATATTTCACAATATTCCCTTTTTCAGTCCTCCCCCTTTTCTCAATTTACTCTGAATGACTAATAAAAATGAAATATTAAATACTTCCTTGTCTAAGAGTGCTAAGTACTACATAGTAATTTTCTTATTGAATTCATACAATCTCTACATCCACCTCATGTTATATGCTAGGAAATTGAGGCTCCAAATGATATAAGTAATTTTCTTAGGATTTCACAGCTGGTTATTAATAGAGCTAGGAATTAAAGCCAGGTTTCTGTCTTTCTAACCCTTGTTCTTAGAAGTATACCCCAGAGTTTCACACACCTGTGGTCCTCTTCTCTGTCAATAAGGGAGCTTATAGGACCTGTTCCTGTAGTGAGGTGGCCTCTTGAATAACTTGTATCAATTCTAGTGCCTGCTGGACTAACACATGAGCATCTTCTAATCCAGTTCTTGGGTAATCTAGCATTGCTAGAATCAGACAAATGTTCTTTGTCCAAGTGTTGTACCCTTTCTAGCATCTGCTACAACCTGGGAGATCCTCTACTCTCCGTCCCTGTTTTCTTGGTGGTGACTGTACATTTGTTAGTCAGGTTTCCATTACTGGAAAAAAATATCTTTTCTAAAGAGAAAAGGTTGATTTGGGTTCATGGTTTAGGAGGTTTCAGTCCATGGTTGGTAGGCCCTGTTGCTTTGGGGCCAGTGCCAGGCAGTGCACCATAGCCACACCGCATGGCAGAGGAACATGAAAGGAAAAGAAGCAACCAGAGTCCCATAATCCTCTTTTAAGGACATGTCCCCAGTGACCTAAAACTTCCCACTAAGCCTTACACCTTACAGGTTCCACCACCTCCCAATAGCACCAAACTGGGGACAAAAGCTTTAAAACATGGATCTCTAAGGAATGTTTCAGATCCAAAATATGGCAATATCCAAGGGGACACATTCCTTCTCCTTCCTTTATCTGAAGCTACATTGAAAATTGAAACCTGTAATTTCCAAAATGCCTATGAAAGCAACAAACTGAAGGAAACAGTGGAGTGAGCACAGATGTCAACTCCAGATACCATAGATGATTTCTAGGCAATAAGGGTATGAGTTTCCAGCAGAGTAGCCCCTGTGTCCTTGCTAAAAACAGTGACTGAGTTGAAACTTTTTCCTACTCATCGTGCAGCTAATTTGTTTCAATAAATCAAATGATTGACATTGGAGTTAGAAATTCCAAATGGATTTTAGCATAGGACCACTTCTTTAGCTTGCTGAAATGTTGTAGTCTTCGTGGGTATTTTTACATGAAATTGAGACTGAATAAATGAAGAACTGCTAATTTGTGGTTATGTTTAGTACCTATTTAATTAATGTCTATTATACAACGGTTTGGGGAATCAGCATTAGACTTACTTCTAAAGAATATATATGGACTGTCCTCATGTATGACCTAAAGGTCATTGATGGACCACTGACAGATTAGGTAGGAAGTTCCCATAATATGCATCCTATTAAGAACAAAAAAAAAGCAGTTTTTAAATGGTAGTTTTTAAAAGGGCTGCACAAAAATTGATGCTATTAGAAAGAGATGACCAAGGGTTGAACTAAGTTGTTTTCCTATCTGTGGCATGTGCTTGAGGAGGCTGAGAGAGCCAGGTCAAAGTGACCTGATGGGTTTTGCTGCTCTTAGCAGTTTTCTTTTATAGAAAAAAGCTCTTTGCACTGTGAATTGTAGAAGCTGGCAGGGAGCTGGCACACATATCATTTCTTACTTCAGTGAAGCTGAGTTAAGGACACTGAAAAATGCTACCTGATTTTTTTTCCTCTTTCCAAAACACCCAATTTATTTTTTGCCACTATCACCAAAGCCACTTAGATGGAGAGAGCCAACAAAAGCATAAAATGTGTTGTTGGAAAATTCAGGCTATATTAAGTGCCTTTGCTCTGTGTCCCCATGTTATCCCATGTGAAGTTTGGTTATATGTGCTAACATAAAATCATCATGTTTTATTTATTCATTTGCATAAAATTATGACAACTTTAAAGGAGATTTCCCTCAATAATGCAGGTAGGATTCATCCAGTTAGATGAAAGCTGTAGGAGCAAAAACTCCTGAGTTTTCCTGAAAAAGAATTTAATCTCAACGTTGCAACATAGAACCCTGCCTGTAATGCCATACTGCTGGCCTTCACTTTCTAGCCCCAACTTCATGAGTGGTTTCCTTCAATAAATCTCTTTATAAATATATGTCTTGGTGATTATGTTTCTCTGGAGAACCTTGTCTGATTGATACACTCCCTTATACTCTAACATTTTATTTGTCTCATCTCTACTCAACTGTAAACTCAATGTTGTGGACCATGTCCTATGTCTTTGTGTTCTCAAATTCCACCAGTGGAATTTGTAAGTACTTGGTGAACTAATGGATATTCACTTCTTTCCAGAAGTCTGCCAAATCAGGGGACACATAACAAGTGACACAAAGATGACAAACAGGCCCAGGTTCTAGAAATCTAGGGAGGATGAAACTAGAAAGCAGGGAGTGCACTTGCTACAGAAGTCAGAGGTGCAGTGAGCTAGCATAGCCTGAGACCTTGGAATTAAAGTTTAGGAATCTGTGGTTTTATATCAACAGGTTACTAAAAATAATTGTCAGCTGAGTTTGAATCCCCTAGTCCTGTGACCTTCAGCATGTTGCTTCACATTTGGGGGCTCCCAGAAGTTGTTTAATTTGCTTGTACAAACATAGTTAGGAGTTGCTAAGAGCCACAGCCAAGTAATATGATGCATGGCATTTTTGGTTGAAAGGTGACACCTGCTAGCCATTGAGATGATATGATTATGTTAAGATTTGCATTCATATGGATATTGGACTCCTGCTGTTCACCTCAGCCTGCTACGGACTCCTGGAGAGTTCCCATTGGTTGGGGAAGTACAGTAGGAGGGAATTCCGGGGGAGGAACTTGTTCTGGGGTTCCAGGAGAACACAGCCTGTGTGGATCGGCTTCTTCCTGGGCGTGTACGGGGTATTGGTGGCAGTTTCAAAAATACAGTTTGTTCCTGCTTGAGTGGCTCGTAATTTTGTGCCCAGCCAGACTGCGGCAAGGAGTCAAGTCCACAGAAGTAAAAGCAAACAGAGAAACAGAAATCCAGAAGGTTGCCACATGAAATAATGCTTGCTTATTCCACATATTATTCTCTACTTGACAGCAGTGACAGGCACAGGGGACTATGTAGTAGTGCAAAGCCCTAACTAGTGAATGTTGTCAGCTGGAAGTTAGGAGAGGACCAGATATAGAATTACAAGGATATTTGTACAGAAAATGATTCCAAAGCTATATAATCATAATCACTGCCATTAATCCATAGAGCCTGGCTAGTTTTGCCTTCAATATTATCTGAACTGTATTAATGACTTGGTGTTAAGATGACTGACAGGTTAGCTCATTCTATGGATCAGGTAAGTGTACAAACACATTAAACTGACTTTTACAGAATAATTATTCCTTTGTCTTTTTGCCTAGAAAAGAATCCCCTATTTTTGAAAAACACATAAAATGCTAGCCTTCTGATTAATAATACTGCTTTAATTCTTTTCCCCAAAATGTTATTTTGTAGGACCGATAACCTGTAAAAGAAATAGCCTATGATCTCAGACAATGATAATAGCAAACATACTTCAGCCACAGCAGAGAGAGCCAGAAGCCAATTTCTGGAATTAGCAGTGCTTTCTGTTCACTACTAAAGCAGGATTACATGTTTAGACTAGAAGTTGTCATTCAACAAAACAAATCAGATAAGATAACCAAGCATATAATATAATAAGAAACAGAAGGATGTGTTCATGGGAAGGAAAAAAAATAATAAAAAAAACAAACTTTAATTCCTTGAACATAATGCTAGTGATTACTAAGGCCATCTTTTTATTTAGTTCAGATAAAGAAGTTTCAGAACAGAATACTGTAAAGTAACCATTAGGAGTCATGCAGAAATGATGTAAGACCAGTATTGCACAAAGACACACTAGACAAATACACAGCTAATATTCTATAGGATTTATTACAGAATTAAAAAAAAGAGCAGATCATTCTTAGTGTACAAAATTAGTGAACTTATTAATTTAAATAACAATATGTGACCCACATCACAAAACCTAGTAACTCTAAATCTACTCTGAAAACCCAATGAATCAAGAAATACCTGTTTGGTGACTCTGCACCTAGCATCATGGACTAAAAGCATGAAATGGTAATCAATTAGGAATGCAGTGCATATTTTAGTAGCTTGGGAATTACTGGGAAAACTAAAAAAATTTTCTCTAGGTATTACATATTTTTGCCTTTCCAAAAGATTACAAGTTCAAATGAGATTAGTATGAAAATGTCTAGAGAGTTTCAGGTCCATTACAGCTATGGGGTAATCAGAGAAGATTAGTGAACTGTTGATACAAATAAGTAGGCTTGGAAATCAAAGAGTCTTATGCTAAATTCGCACATTTTAATCAAGTGGTAGAATCACTCAAGAATTTCTGAAATCACACTAATGCCATATGACCACCAACATGCTGTTTCCCTACTATGACGACTCCTTAAATTGAGATAGAAGAAGGCATATAAAATATGGCTAGCTACAAAATAAGTTTTCCTCCACTTTCTCTGTTCCCTAAAGAAAAAAAAAATCCTGTTTTTTAATATGAGAAACTCACTAAGTCAATTGAATGTTAATTAAAGGAACTGTAGGCTAAGTCTAGAGGACAGAATGCCTCCTAGTTGAACAAGAAGACCACAGAAGAAGGAATTATCACAAGAGAAGAACCATTTTTCCAGGAGGCCGACTACCACGAATGATATCCTCATGAGCCTGGGCCACCTTCTCCAAGGGATACTGAGATCCTACCACAGGTTTCAACCAACCAATTTCCATTCCTGCTTGAAGGGCTGCTGCAGACTGCTGAAACTCCTCCTAAAAGAGAGCAAAAATATATTTTTTTTTGTAGTAGACTATATGACTTAAGTTTTAGAAGCTTTCAAAAACTTTAGATTCTAAGATTTATATCACAAACAGTCTCCTACAAATGGATGGCTTTTGTCAATTTGTCCAGAACTACAGAAAAACTAGTTCTCTAAAGAGTAACAATAAGTTCCATTTGCCTGGGATAGTGTTAGTTTATAAAATACCTATTGTCTTGAATAATTACTGGTAGTATCACCTTTCTCTTTCATGAGTCTTGACTTGGGTAATAAATTGTACTGTTGCCTTCATTACCCATCAGGTCACTTAACCTTACCCACTCCTCTGGTCAGACGACCAAGCTTAGCATCTACCCTAACTTCAGGCTATCAGACTAGGCAAACTGTACCAATGTCCAAGTTAACAAAATTAGAAGCTCTTCTTCTCCTACCTTGGTTGATGCAAATAAAGTGATTCCACTTATACTACACTCTTTCGTCATGGTGGCCCGTGGGTTTATTTCAATAGGGCCTCTGCTGCCAACAACCTATTATGAAATAACAGGTCTACAGTCAAAGATTGCTGCAGGAGAGCATTAAACTGCAGTAAAACTTTAAAGTGGAAATGAAAAATACTTACTATTACTTTTCCTCCAAATGACAGAAGATTCAAATCATTACTAAGATTCACATTAGCTAACATTTCGATAATCACATCAATCCCCTTTTCACCAACAGATTTCTACATAATAAAAAAGAATGGCGAGTAAGATAATAAGTGAAAAAACTGTAAAATAGCTATTATTTTACAGAAATGCACTTCAAGTGACAATGACATATAAGATATGTTTTTAAGAATAACAATGTAAATTTTAAAATGATCTAATTATATAATGATGATGTAACTCCAAGGAACCAGCCACAACATCTAAAATGATAAAGGTTTCTCCTGGATAAATTGATGTAATGAAATAAAGTCTCCCTGGAATTTTCAGGTGCATATAAACCACTTTTTACTTAGCCCAAGATTTCACATCTTTAAAATGTCTTTTACAAAGAAATGAACAAATCAAAATCCATAAACCCCAGAGGGCTTCCATTTTTATTAAGTAACAAATACTCTGGTGTTGCAGGATTTGTGTGTGTGTGAGTGTGTGTGTGTGTGTGTGTGTGTGTGTGTGTGTGTGTTTGTACATGAAGTTTTGTTCCAAATGGTTTACCATCTGATTGTCTCTGATTGTCACACTAATTCTTTTCTTTTGGGCTCTGAGAATTTGGTTTCCATCTGGCTCTTTTAAAAAGCTAGTACATATCTACATGATATTCATTTTATCAATAAAAAAAGAATATCCATGGCAGATACTATACTAGAATGCAAAGAATGGACATAGTGAGCTAAAAACAAAGTTAAGAAGAAAGAGAAAATACTAGGCAGAGCTGGAATGTAATGGCCTAAGCACTATATTAGCAGAATAAGCCATAAATGATAGAAGAAAAAAGTTAAAAAATTGATTGCCTGCAACCACAGAGGCAATGACTTGAGCCTAGGGTATAGAAAAGAATTTTCTAAGCAAAAAGAAAGGAAGGCAGGTGAGAGAAGCCAGACAGGAGAAGAGTAAGTCTCAATTTAAGATACCAAAAATGTAAGGAACTGATAAGTCAAGGATTGGAACTTTAGGAAAACTGACGTATGTATCTGGATGAGGAGGAGTAGCAGGGAGAGGAGGTGCATGTTATTTATCTTTCTGTTATGTTAACAAAACATCAACTTAAATAAAAAAAAGGTTATTTGGGCTCACAATTTGGGAGGCTTTGGTCTATGGTCAGTTAGTTACCTCACTGCTTTGGGGCCTATAGCAATGCAGTATATCATGGTGGGGGGTGCATGATGGAGCATGCTGCTCACCTCATGGTGAGAAACAGAAGAGTTAAAGTCCTAATATCCCCTTCAAGGTCAGGTCTCCATACCACTGAAAGATTCCCACTAGACCCTATCTCTGAGAGGTTCTACTACCTCCCAACAGTGACACAGGCTGGGGACCAAGCCTTTCATGCATGAGTCTCTGGGGATTGCTCCTCCAAACCACAGCACTGTGGGAGAGGGGACTGTAGAATTGATACAGATTGTAACAACACATTGAATGCCATATTAAAGGATTTGGAATTTGTGCATCGATTCATGCACCAGGCACTATTTTAGGCTCTGCAACAGCAGTAGGGACTGAGGGTCAAAAATTCCTTTTCTAAAGCAGTTGCCATTTTAGCTACTTCTGGGTATTTTTTTAAAGGAAGAACACAAGTAAGTCTGATTAAAAAGTGGAAAAGACAAAAGGGGCTATTAGCTAATCTATAATTAATAGTCAAGACTGAAGAAATTGAGGCCTAAACTAAGTCACAGGTGGGTGGAATAGATAAAAAAAGGTCTGTATAAAGGCATGTCAGAGGTGAAACTGGCAGAATGAGGTGACTAACTTGGGTGGAAGGGAGAATGGTGATTAAAATAAAATGAGAGTTCCTATCTTAGGTGAGCAGACGAGTGGTGAGGTCTAGCAGTCTAGCAGCATGAAGGAATGGACATCAGGCCAGAGTCAGTTCTAGAAATCAGCAGCACATGGGTAAAACCTGAAGCCCTGGGACAAATGAGGTTGATTAGGGGAAAGTCTAGCACATGAAAGAGAGAACAGGATTAAAAAAAAAATCACCAGGGAACATCAATATTTCATTCATATAAAGAGGAAGGTGAATAGTCAGAGAAGCAAGAAGAGAATCAGCTTTAAGGGATGTGGTCAGGGTCATATGCTCCAAAAAATCAAACAGGATGAGAACTGAGATAAGACAAGCAGACTGTGACCTCAGAGGAGCAGTTTAAGAAGCTGGAATGGAAGCAAAACTGCAATCGGAGGTGAGGAAGGAAAAGCAGTAGTACTTACTAACTTCTTTAAGAAGTTTGATGGAAAAGGAGAGCAAAGAAAAGAAATGAGATGATAGGTTAGGAGAGTAATGTGTTTTGAGAGTGGGAAAGACTTAAGTAGAAGCAATCAGTGGAAGGGAAGGAAGCTACAAGACCTTATGGACTTGAAATCAGATTATCGCCAAACAAAAAACACATCTGCAAAATAGCAGGCCATTTCCATCTTTGTAAATATTTTTGGAGAATGGTATTAGGATTGAGTAAGGGATACTAGGTCCCTGGACATATGACCAAGAAATCTCTTTGATCAGTTTTTTGGTGATATGATTTAGTGATAATGAACTCTCACTTGTGTTTCTCCCTAGTTGATCTATTTTAAGAAGTATTCAGTACCTGAGAAATCCTAATTCTTTCTAACATAAGGAAGTTGTGGTTTGAGGATTAGCAAAGTAATCAGTGTTTAGCAAATTGCTACTAGAGTGCAAATGGAGAACTTGAGAATTGACCGGAACTCTGTTAATATTCAACAGCCAACTAAATACTACCTCACCACTATGGATGACTCCTCCAGCACCCAGTTAACCAATACTTTATAGATAAGAAAACTAGACAGATACCAGGTATCTCAACTTGCATGGAAATTTTATATCAGTAGAAATTATATTAAGGATACCTCATAGCTATAAATACAAAGCTATAGCTGTACTTACAATGTGATTTGCATTAAAGAGCATCAATTTTTATAGCCATAAGACTTTAGGAATATTATATTTTATTTAGTACATATACACAA